ATGATAAAATATCTGATTAATATCTAAGCAGTATTTTAACTCTTTTTATAAAATTTAGAATTTATAATAAATTTTATTATATTACTGTTTTTTAATGTAATAATATATTATTTATTATTATTTTTATATTTTAGAAATATTTCTTTAAATACATAGCTTTTAAGTTTATTTATATTCTTATAATAATATAGTACTCTATATGTTTAAGTTTATAGATATTTAATATTAAATAAATAATTAAGTTAGAGTTTAAATAGAATTTTTAGTTTTTTATAAATCTTTTTTAAATCTTTTATAATAATTATATAATTTTTTAGATAGTAAGCTATATTTATAGCTTAATTTTAATATACTTAGCTAATCTTTAATTTAAATAGTAGAATATATATAATATTTAGAATAATCTAATTAAATTATTTAATTATATTATTTTAAGCTAATATCTCTAATTTAATAAATTTAAACTTGATATTTATAAATTAATTTTAGAGAATTAAGATAATAAACTTTTTTATATTATTAATCTAGATTCTTATAAATATTATTTCTGCTTAATATTTTTATATCTAAGTTAGATATTTAATTATTTCTCAATATCTTTAGATTTCTGGAATTTTATAATATATATTTAAGAAAAATAGTTATAATTATTAATTCAAAAAAAAAAGAATCTTTTTTATTTTTTTATAATTTAAATCTCAGAAGTCTATATAAATCTGCTTAAAAAATTAAATAATATATAAAATAAAAATATAATTTTATTTCTGAATTTATTTTATATAAATATAGACTTTATATTTATTTTTGAATAATTAATCCTTTTTTAAGCTATAAATTCTCTATATTTAAATAAATTATATATTTATTAAAATAATATTTTTTAGAATATTTAAGATATTAATATATTAAACTTTGTTTTTTTTATCTTAACTATTTCTTTAAAAACTATTTAATATATATAATACTTAATTCTCTAAGAATTAATAATTTAAATTATTAGATATTTTATTATATTAAGATATATTAATTTTTTAATTTTTAATTTTTTATAATTATTTTACTATTTTTTAAGATCTGATAATTATACTTAAATTTTTATAATTTATATTTATTTATATAAAATATCTCTAGACAAAGAAGATTATCTATTAAATCTAAGATATATATAATATTTTTCAATTTTATTATAAAATTATTTAAAAGCTTAAATTTAATTATCCCGCGGTTATTAATTAATAATTTATTATTATTAATTACTATAAGAATCTTTCTTTATATAAGATTTAATAAAATAAAGAATTCTGTTTATTCTCTTATATAGCAGATTATTTTATTATTAAAATATTATTAATTAAATTAATTATAATTGTTAAACTTTCTATTGATATTTTCTATTAATCTTATTTTAATATTAGAATTGTTAAAAATAATATTAGTCTGTTTAATATAATAATATATTAGTCTAAAGAATTAAAGAATTACTCTGTTAATATTCTTATTATTATAATTTTAATTTAATTCTTTATTAGATTAATACTTAATAAATTATTTCTTACTAGAATATTTTCTTTTTGTCTAATTCTATCTTTAAAGTCTTAAGAATTTTAATTCTTTTTTTATTAATAATTCTTTCTTATATAATTCTTCTTTTTATAATAAAAATAAACTATATTCTTTTTTTATTAAAATCAGATATTTTAGATCTTTTTTTATTAATATGTTTTATTAGATTCTTATAATTATCTATATAATTGATAAGATAGTTCAGAATTAGAATAATATTTAAACTAATTAATATATTTCTAAAGTTAACATATTTATCTCATAAGTTATTAAAATATTATATAATTAATAAATTATTAAGATCTAGTATTTTTTTTATAAATAATAATTAATTATTAATATAAATTCTTAATCTTAAGAAGTATTTTTTTTAATATAATTAGAATTCTTTTTTAATTAGCTAACTTCAGTAGTTACTGTAACTTTAAGATCTTAGAGAATTTTATATAGATTTTCTATAAATATTATTATATTTTTTTAATATATTTAAAATTCTTAATAATTAAGATTTTATTTTTATTTAATTCTATCTGTATGATTATTCTAATTTTTATATTAATTTTTTATTATCTAATATTTCATATAATAAGTTTAGTTAAGATCTCTCTAGAGATTTTATTATAGACTTTAATAGTTTCTGTTTATTAGATAAATTATAATTATAATTAATATCTTATTAAATAGAATTAATAATAATCTTTTTAATTAATTTATTAATTTTAAATTCTTTTATTCTAATATTAAAATTTCAGAATTAATCTTCTTGTTACTAGCTTTAATTTTATAACTAAAATATTTTAATAACTTAAGATTATTTATTAGAAATATATTAATTAATAATATTTATAGAAATAATCTAAAAATTAGATATAGAAATAAAAAAGATTTAATAATTTATATAGAATATTAAGCTAATATAAATCTCTGAAAATATAAAATTTAAAATAATTTAAGAAATTAATAAAACTAGACTTATAATTAATAAAATAAATTCTTAGAAATATAAAGACTTCTAAGTTCTAAACATTTTATTTATATATAATTTAGAATATAAATATAGATTATAAATAAAAGATAAAAATAAGATTTCTTAGAATTATAATATTAATATTCTAAATATTTAATAATTTTTATCTAATAATTACTAGTAGATTCTTTTAAAAGCTTTATTAAAATATATACTTACTTAGCTAAAGAGAGAATAATTATATTCTATTCTTAGTAAGCCAGAGATAGAACAATCTTTTATCTATAAATCTAGCTGTATTATATCAAGCAGAATATAATTATCTTATCTCTAACTAAATAAGTATATATCTTAATAATTCTTAAACAAATATTAGTAATTTTTAGCTAGAAATTCTTATATATTTATATTATAAATATTATAATTTTAAAAAATATTATTTTTATTTTTTATTAATATTCTGCTTTTATATCATAGATTATATATAAATAAAATATTTAAAGGTTTCTATATTTATTAGGGATTGCAAAATGGAAATCCTTGTATATATTTTAGAGCGTTTCTGAATAAAATTATAAAATAATCTTATTTAGTTTATTTAAGCCTGTAACTAATATTATTATTATCTTTCTTTTTATTTTTAAGTATAAAAAGAGAAGAGATATAATAAAAAAAGATTATAAATCTTTTTATAATAAATTTTATGAAAGTCTTTTACATATCTTGCAGATAATAAAAAAAAGAAGAAAAAGAATTAAAAGAAATAATATAGATTATATTTAGTTAATTTCTGAAGAGATAGTACTAATCAAATAGATAAATAAATAAATATTTAAAATTTAATTAAGAATAATAAAGTTTTTAGTACTGCTATTAATTTTATATATTTCTAATCTAAGTCAGCTAATTATTTAATATTATATTAATTAATAAAATATTTATTTATTATCTGCGAGAATTAACTTATATATATAAATAAATTTTTAAAGCTTAATTATTAAAAATTAAGAAAATCTAATATTAACAGCAGTATATATATTTTCTTTTTAATATTATATATTTTTTAAGAAAAGAGATAGTCCAGATATTTATAAATAAAATCTTATAAAACTTTTAAATATAATATAAAATTTATTTCACGCGGTGAATATAATAATAATTCTAACTGATTATTATTAAAGTTAGATAATTATAAAAGAAAATAAATAAATAAAAAGACTAATAAATATTATTTATTTATTTTTTTTATTAATAGTTGCTGGCTCTGCTAATCAAGAGTATTAAGAATAATCTGATTAAAAACTAATTTATAATAAAAAAATTATATTTAATTCTTTTATTTATTATATCTAAAAAGCCCAAGAGAAATACTTGATAGCAGATTTTAATTAGTAATAAAAAAAGTAAAAATATTTTTTTTATTTATTATATATAGAGAGTTCAGAAAGATAAGATAGTACTAAGAATTAATAAACTTATAGTTATTATATTCTTACTAATCTAAAAGATAATAATAATAATTATTATTTTTTAAGCTAGCTGAATAAAATGAATAGAAAGAATAAAAATAAAAAAAATTAGATATTTATACTCTCTCAGACTTTGTCTTATTATTAAAGATAAGATAGTACTAAGAACTAGCAAACTTGTGATTAATAAATCTATACTAATCTAAGAGATAATAATAATTATTTTTTAAGCCAGCTGAATAAAGAGAATAGAAAAAAAAAACCTAAATATTTATATTTCTTTTTTTAGATTTTATCTTATTACTATTCCCGAGCCAGCTGGGCAAGAAAGATATAAAAGAAAGATAAAAAAAAATTAAGTACTTATATCTCTGGGCTCTGTCTTAATATTTAAGATTAAGATATAAATAAGACTAATATAAATTAAAAATAATATTAAGATTAAACTAATAATAAAATTGTATTAAAATAAATTATAAGATTAAAATAAATAGCCAGAGATTAATAATTAAATTTTTAAAAAAAATAATACTATAAAATATATCTTAGATAATTATATATATAGATTTTAAAAGAATCTTATAGATAAGAAATTTTAAAAATAATAAAAAAAAATTATATAGCTATATAAAAATTAGAAGATTATATAATAGAATTTTATAAAAATTAAAAAAATTATATATTTAAACTTAGTAAGAATTATAATCTTTATAAAGATCAGAAAATTCTGTTACTGTCTTTTAATTCTTATTAAGGATTATTCCGGTTCCGGCCTGATCCTTCCGCAACTTTTTCTGAACCCGCCGGAGCTGTATGCCCCATTCATGTCAAATGAACCACTTGGCAGGACTATGATTAAATTCTGCCACATGTTGTAGTCCACCGCCTACCAGACTTTGTACCTTGGAAGTTGCGAAGATATAGAGCGGATAATAAATGTTCCTTCAACACCGTCCAGTTGCAACTAGGCTCTGATTAAACCACACCAAGTACAGAATATCTTTGTCCATTACCAAAGACTTATATCCATCCATTACCTTTTTATTATCCAAATAAAGGTATTTTATGAAGTCGACTTTGTCCTTTGTTATTGAAATTATGCTCATCCAATTCAGGAGCTCGGTGCTGATGCATACATAGGCCAGCACATCATGGCTCGCGATTTTGTGAAAGTCGCCAAGTCTGCATCAAATGTGATTGCTGTTCAGAAGGTGAGCGCCTCTACCTACTTACCAATACTGTCTGTGATCATGTTACTTACCTGTTTCTAGAAATATACTGTCCAGTCTACCGGTATCTGGGAACGCCTCCGCCGCCTTCTTTCCATCGACCCGAATCGCTCGACTGGTGTTCCTTTAAACTCTCAATATCGTTTACCAACTCCAGGAGCTCTACCACCTCTGTCCTACGATGACCCTGTCTCAATTCCTGCGGGGGATATTGCCGATAACCCCTATTGGAAACGTGACGTTCGGAGGAACTATCCTAGACTCAGTGCTGTCAACCAGGCAGACACTGTTAGTCTTCTCACTGTAGGCAGCCAGGCAGCACCTAAAGATGATGTCCTACAGATTGGCAAAGCTGGGCAAATTCAACTAGCTCTGGTTAAAGAACAGGGAGAGGAGCGTGGTCTTGCTAGCCTTTTTGAGAAGGACAAGAACGGATTTCAAGGAGTCTTGGGCTCGGATGGTTTGCCGCCATTGCCATGCAATCTGAACCCTTCTGGCACTAAATATCAACTCGGCCATGAGCATGGCTACCCTGATGTGTATGTTTTTTCTGACTGCTTATTTTGACATAGCTGACACTATAGATAAGTTATCCTTGCCGCACATTCATTTAAATGCGCAACTTGGTAAAGCCCATAGTAATGTTGAGGATTGTCTTTGTTTGTCCCAGTTTGGATGTTTCACTTATGTCCAATGTCATGCATTGAGGTGGGAGGAAAGAGCACAGCCGCGACTCTTGATAAGCTTGTATGTGAATGTACAGACATGGAAGACTTTGAATTGACCTCAAATCGCCGATCTATCTGATCCATCAATATGATGGACGGAATGATATACCGGCTACACTGGCTATGATCTTGGAATTCCCATTATAGCCGACACTGGGCGCTAAGCCTGTCTGGTTGAACAATAAGGTTTGATGGGATATCTGTAGAGCCAAGTTAATGATTAACTACTAAACAAGAGTATAAATATCCTGCTAATTTATAGTGCTGCATGTTTGCCCCTAGGAAGCGCTCTCGATTTTTGATTTTGAATCAATGCAAGAAACAAGGACTCCTGATATGATAATCACCAGTTCATTGTATGCATGTCGCCATGTTTAATTAGACCCAGAGGTCCTGTTTACTGGAAACAAATGATGATTTTGTTTAATACGATCGTGCAGGTTTGATAGAATTCATGGAAGTGTGAGACCAGTTAACCAGAACATGATAGCCTAGGTTTCCTAGTAAAGAAGCGGAAAGGATTTATAGCTATTACCAGGTTGTAAGTGTTTCCCTACGCAAAGGGGTTGGTGCGCGTGCCCCACCAGGTCAGGAACACACTCAGTCCCACTGTTTCAAACAATCTGCTGAAAGCGCCTACAGCAATGGTGTCGAGGGGTCTTTTTTCTGCGAAAATCTGGCTCACGACCTATATACACAAAGACAACATTAGTGAGAATCCTTTCCTTGAGATCAGGAGCTTAGCAGGACATACACTTGGGGCTGTGCTGGCCATGAAAATTAAGCTCCCGAGATAAGCTGCACCTTTGTAGCTCAGGGTTCCTGTAGCATTGATCAAGGCTGCCACCCCATAGGTTTGAACAGCACTTCCAGCCAAGGAGGTACCCCAGGCTACTGCTGCGCCAGTCGCCTCTTTTGATTTAAAAAATTCTTCCTTCGAATTGGCGGCTTGGGCTCGATGGTACGTGTCACCGAAGATAGGAGTAAGTATACCCAGAGAAGCAGTATGGGTGAAGGCAGCGCCCATTGCAATCGCAGAAGGCTTCACAGAAGGCAAATCTGAGCGGGTCTCATTAGCTTTATAGTAAACATTGTGTAATTGATCCTTGGCATGATAGATATCGTAATACTCACAGTTGAGGGTCGTCATTTTGATGTTAGATCAGTTCTCGCTAAGACCTAGTTGATGAACTAGTGAGCAGTCTATCAAGTAAAATGTGCATTCCAATTTTCTTTTGTAAGAGCCCTGAGCGTAGTATATAATGGGTCACATGTTAATACAGCCATTTGGTAATCAATTCGGTCATCTATGCGATGACGTCTCCATGATCGAGGGACCTGTGGAAGTTATGATGCGGCAGGGGACCTATTATGACATCATCAAACACTGAGCAAGGAAGACCAGGTGCGACAGATTCAGAATAAGTTACAGAAAAACTGGAAAAAAAGTCGTCTGGCTTATATATCTTGCTCTTAATTGATTCTTGCTTCACTCATACCTATATGATTATAATTATATCACACTTGATACCGCTATACTATATAGATTGATTGATTGATTGATTGAATGATTGATTGATTGATTGAATGATTGATTGATTGATTGATTGAATGATTGATTGATTGATTGATTGAATGATTGATTGATTGATTGATGCATTATACCCGATTACAGCACTCTTGGAGACTCTTTCCGGGTCGCCGACGGCCAAAGGACCCCCTGGCTGCGGAACTTTTATATACATAAAACAAACAGTGATTTTCAATATCCCCTTCGATCCGCCAGTTGACTGACTTTCTAATTTGTAAATCCTCATCCCATTCTGTAGCTCTTCTGTTTGTAGTTTGTAGATGCGTTCTAATGCGCAGGCCTGGCTTCGATGTAGCGGATAAAGCTGTATTTCTTGGCTTTCTTGATATTCTGCTTTATTCCTAACACCCAGTGTTGCCTGGTGGCCCTCCTGCATCTGTTATCTGTTCCAAATTGAAGTGGATTAAAGTGGCTTAACCTGACTGTTATATCTTAACCTTAACCTGGCCATAATCTGACAGTCAGATTAAGATATAAAAAATTTTTAATTATATAATTAAGATTAGATTAAGATATAACTATTACTATAATTATTTATATCTATTAATTAAAAAAATTAGATATAATAAATAAATTAATAATTATAGATTAATTTATAATATATATATTTTTTTTATATAGATAATATATAAAATATAATATATATTTAAGTAAAATATAAATATAATAATATTCTTTAAATATAGTCTATTATCTGATCTGCTTAACTAATTATCTTAAAAAATATATTATATTCTGAAAAAAATCTTTATAAAATTTAATATAAAAAAAATAAAAAAAATATAAAATATTTATTTTTTATATTATTTAAAATAATAATTATAATAATATAAAAATTATAAAAATCAAGTCTCTATTTTTATTTAAATATATATAATAATTAAAAACTTAAATAAAACTAATTTTTTTTAATTTTAATAATAATTTATTCTCTGAATTATTTTTAAGATTATTTATATTTTTATTTTTATTAATATAAAAGATAGTAATTATCTTATTTTTTTTTATTTTTTAAATATAAGAATAATTAAATCTACATTAAGATTATTAATTATTAAATATATTCTAATATTTTTTATTTATAATAAAATAATTAATATATATTTAAAGTATAATTATTTTAATTATATTAAAATAGAAATAACTTTAATAATAATAATAAATATTTTAAAGATTATTAAAAAGATATTTAATACTGATATTATTAATTATAATTAAAAGAAAATCTGTAATTATTTAGTAAAAAATAGAAAACTAATTATAATAGAATTTTTAATAAATAAAAATATTAGTATATTCTATAATATCTGAGATTATATTAATTTAATTAAAAATATTTTAAAAAGCTATATATCTTTAATATCTAAATATATCTTAAATTTTTTATATATCTTAGCTGCAGATAAGAGTCTTTAATATTTAAAAATATTATAAAAAATCTTATCTAAATTTAATAATAATCTAGAGATTATTAATAATATATTAATTATTAAATTTTAATTATAATAAAAAAACATCTTCTTAAAAATAGTTTAATATTTATAATATTAATTAATAATATTATTTAGTTATATATTTTTCTTAAACTTCTTAAGCTTTAATATTAGATTTAAAATAATTATAATTATATAAATAAAATTTTTTATTTAATAAATATAATAATAATACTTTCAGAGCTTCTGATATATATTATATAAGTTTTTAAAAATCTTTTTTTTAGAATATCTGCTTTCTTTTTAGTTTATTAATTAAATAATTTAGATAATTAAAAGGATTATTATAAATATTATAAATCTTATAAATAATAGACTTATTATTCTTAAAAAGATAGAAAATAAAAAAAAATATATAAAAACTTAAGAAGATATTCTATCTATTTTTATTTAATTATAATAAAATAAAAATAATTAATATTACTATATTTACAGTGCTGAATAAAGCTTTTAATTATTTAATAAAAATTAAATATTTAATAAATTATAAGATAGATTAAATTTTAGTAGATTTTATAATTAAAAAAAAATAATAAATTAAGCCAGATTTAAATTATTAAATAAATAAGAATTTTTTATAATATTAAGAACCTATATTTATAAATTATATAATTTTCTAAATTTATAATTGAAAATTTATAATTAAAAATTAATATAATAAATTAATTAATAAAAATTTTTTAAAAGTTTTTTATAAAAGAAAATTCTATATTAATCTTTTATAGACAGTTTTTAGAATATATTTTTTTAAGAATTTTTAAAATATTAAAAAAGATTTTAAAACTTTTATTATTATTTTTTTATATATATTTAATAATATTATTTAAGATCTTAATCTAAAGTTTCTGCAGAAGAATATTAATTATAAATTAAATTATATAAATAAAACAGAAAATATAATACTAGCTTTAAATAATCTTTAAAAAATCAGAATTAATTAAAATATTATAAAACTAAATATTCTAACTAAGTTAAGTTTAAAGTTTAGCTAAGATTATATTAAATATTATATTATTATTATTAATATTATTAGTTATTATATTTAATAATTAATAAATAAAATTATATTTATATAAGATTAATAAAATAATTATAGCTAGATTTTTATTAATATAAAATCTAAATATTAATTAGAAATCTAGTAAAATCTTATAATAATTTATATTTTTTATTAAAAAATATTTAGTTAAACTAAGAAATATTTTCTAATTAAAACTAATTTAATAATTTATTATAATTAATATTTATTTAATATCTAAAAACTTTAATAATAATTATATATATATTTTTTTTAAATAATTCTATAAAATATTTTTTAATCTGTATTTAATTAAAAAAACTTAGTTTTTAATAAAAAAATAAAGTAGTAAAATTAATTATTTATTTAAATTAAATATATTTAATAGTTTAAAATAATAAATAATAAATAATTATAAAATATAGAATTTAATTCTAAAAATTCTGTTTATTATAAATTATAAAAATCTAGAAAAGAATAATAATTAAAAAAGATTTATTTTAAAAAAATAAATAAATATTTATAATAATCTTTTATTTAATATCTAATTAATTATTTATTTAGATATAATTAATAATAATCTTTTTTTATAATTCTTATAAAGATAATAATTTATAAAACTAGTTTTTAAGTTTTTAATTTCTAGATATTATAATATATAAAGATATATAATATAATAAATATAAAAGATTTTATTAAAAAATAATATATTTTTCTAAAAATTATTTTATATTATTAATAATTTTTTCAGATTAAAATAAAATAATAATTTTTAAGTTTATATATAATCTTTAAAAAAAATTATCTTTTATTATTAATTCTAAAAAATCAAGAGTTTTTTTTAAAAAATTAAATATAAAATAATCTTTTAATTCTTTGTAATATATATAATCTTAAGATTTAGAAAAAAAAATCTAACTTAAAAAGCTTATCTTAGTTTAAATATTATTATAATTTATAAAAATCTAAAAAATAAAAGAAGAAAACTTAGTAATATTTTTTAAAAAAAAATTAAATAATTATAATTAACTTATAATTCTTAAAGTTATTTTATAAATAATAAATATAAAAAGATAAAAGCAGAAAACTCTATAAAAATAATTTATTTTATTTTAAAATATAATTTTATATAAATATAATTTATTATATTTTAATATACAGCTAAGATATCTGTTATATCTTATTTATTTTAATAAATTTAATAAATAAAAATTTATATCTAAAGCCCAGAGTTATAGAATAATATTTTTTTTTAATAAAATTATTTAAAATATAATAAATTAAAATAAAAAATAAATATTTATAAAAAAAATCTATAAAAGACTTTTACAGAATTTTCTATAAAAATTATAATATTATAATATAGATTTAGTATACTCTATCTATTTTATTTATTTATTTAATTTATTTAATTTATTTAATTTATTTAATTTATTTAATTTATTTAATTTATTTAATTTATTTAATTTATTTAATTTATTTAATCTATTTAATCTGCTTTATTCTAATAATTTAACTATTTATAATCTTTTTATTTATTTATTTATTTTTAATTTTATTAATAGCTTTTCGAGCTATATCTTATTTATAAATCTAAGAATAATCTAATCTAGAAGAAATAATAGAATAAAAATAATATATTTATTTTTAATATTTTAATTAAAAATTAATATATAGTTTTTCTAATATTTTATATAATATAATTAAGATATACAACTAAAATAAAATAATAATTATATATTTTTATATATATATATTTTATTATAAAAATAATAATTTTATAAAAAACTAAATTTTATTAATATAAGTAGAATTTTCTTATTATTTTTAATAAATAATAATTAAAAAAATATTATTTTTTTTAATTATATTTTTTTAATCTAAAAAGCTTCTTTTTTATATTCTTTTAGATAATAATAAAAATAATTAGATTAATAATTATTTTATCTAGATATATTTTAATTATACTAGAGCTTAAAAATATATAATAAATAAATCTTAATATTAAGAATAATTAAGATAATTAATTATCTAATTTTTAATTATATTATAATTAGATATAAAAATTTTCTTAATCTAATTATAATCTAGCAGTTAGATATAAAAATTTTAATTAACCTGACCTGACCTGGCTGTTAGGCACTCTAAAGTGGATTCTCAGGGATATAGTCTAAGACACAAAAGCAGAATATTAATAAAAAATAAGAACAATATTTCTTAGAGTTATAATATTAATAATATAAGTATTTAAGAATTTCTAGCTAGTAAGTATTAATAGATTTTTTTTAAAAAGATTATCAGAATACATATTTATTTAATTAAAAAAAATAATTATATTTTAGTCTTAATAAACTGAAGATAAAATAATTATATTTGATTTATAAATTAAACTATATTATAAAAACTTTTTATTTAATATATAATTAATTTCTTAAATTCAAACAATTAAAAATAAGTATAAATTAAAGTTATATTAAATATTTAAAAGATTTTAAATATATAATAATATACTAAAATTGATTTTTTTATTTAGATAAGTCTTAAATCTTTATTAATATTATATTTAATTAATATATATAATTATTATAATTCATCTATCTGTTATTATATTTTTTCTGTTATTATATTTTTTATAAATAAAGAGATTTAAATTATCTATTTATTTAGAAAATAATTCTAAATAATATAATATTAAATAATAATTTATTTTATTTATAAATTGTGGCCTGCTTCTGCTTGTTACTAGCATACTCCTTGTTCGTCCTATAGCTTTGTTACTGATATATCTTGTTTATTCTATTAAAGCTATACTAGACAGCCCTTTCTGTTTTATATTTAGAAATTAACTTTATAATTATCAAGAAATCCTATTAAAGTAATTAAATTATATAATATTATATTAATAATAATATACCTATATTTTAATATTAACTCACAGAACTAAATCTTTTTGAAAATAAGTAGACAAAACAATTTCTTTTATATTTATTATTTTATAATGAAAATTCTAATTAATTATATATAAGGATTATTATTTTTAATAATGTTTTTAGACTAACAGAGTAATTATATTATAAAGCTTAGATATTAGATCAATACATTTTATAATATTATTTTTAATATATTTTATGTTATAGGGTTCTTGTACCAATCCTCTAAATCCCAAATACTTGACAATACCTGTGTTAGGGGCGGAACCCATAAGCTATAGAGAACCAAGCCTGTATATATAAGAAGAAATAACTAATATTTTAAAGAGAATTCTTAAAAGTCTAATAATTTTATATATATATATATAACTAAGAAGATTATTAATCTAATAAAAGAAATTAATTAAAATAAATAGCTTTAAAATATATTTTATATTATTATTTTTTTAGAGATTTAATTAATAATCTTTATTTATTTATATTAATCTCATAATTTATTTTACTATATTTTTATTATTAATTTAGTCTTAATCTTATTTTTAGTTTCTTCTAATCTTATTTCTAGTTTATATTAATCTTATTTATATCTTAATCTTAGATATTAAGACAGAGTTTAGAAATATAAATATTTATTTTTTTTAATTCTTTTTTATTTTTCTTATTTAGCTAGCTTAAAAAATAATAAGAATAATTATTATTTTTTAGATTAATAAATATTTATTAATTACAAATTTATTAATTTTTAATATTATTTTATCTTTAATACTGAAACAGAGCTTAAGAAATAGAAATATTTAATTTTTATTTTTTTTATTTTTATTTTTTTTATTTTTATTTTTTTATTTTTATTTTTTTCATTTTTATTTTTTTATTTTTATTTTTTTATTTTTATTTTATTAATTCTTTTTATTTAAGTAGCTTAAAAAATAATAAAAATATTTATTATTTCTTAGATTAATAAGAATTTATACTGATTAAGATCTATTATTAAATAATTCTTTTAAACTCTTTATATATAATAAATAAGAAAAATAAATATAATTTCTTTATTATTAATTAATTTTTAATTAGATTATTATTAATACTTCTGACCGGCAAATTCAGTAACTATTAATAAAAAAAATAAATAGAAAATAATTATTACTAATAAATTAATATTTATTTATTAGATATAAGAATTTAATAGAAAAAATATAAATATTTAATTTTTTTTTCTTTTTTTAATAAATTAATATCTATTACTTTTAAATAATAAGAATAATCTTATTTTTATTATAAAAGCTAGAATATAGTTTAATAAATATAAATATATTATGTTAATAGTAAAAATCTTTAAGCTGCGGATTTCAAAGAAACTAAATTATTAAAATAATTAATAAATATTTTTTAATTATTTCTAAAATACTTAAAAAGTACTTATCTATTATTATACTTAAATTATTTATTTATTAAATAAATTTTATAATTTCTTGAAAAATCTTTTTAGATATTTTAATTAATAATTATAAAGAATATTAATAAATATTATAAAAAATAAAAAGAATATATAAATAATAATCTAATCTCTAAAAAATTAAAATAGAAAAGATAATACTATAATTAATATAAATTAAATATTCTAATTCTTAAATATATTATCTTTCTATAAATAATTTATACACAGTTAGTAAGTACTTGAAAGATATTTAGAAAATATTTATTATAAAATTATTATTATAATAAAAATAACTTAAAAATATTATATTTTTTAAAAAATAATAAGATATTATTATTAAAAAATTATTTAAAAAAATAAAATTAAGAATTATATAATTTTAAATTAAATTTTCTTAATATTTATCTACAAAGTCTTTAGATTTATAAATATAAATAATATAAAATATATAATTTTTCTATAAATTTTAAATTATTTAGTAAATATTTTAAAAATAATTAAAATATAATTTAAAAATAGACTTACTAATTATATAAAATATTTAAATATTAGTTTATAAATTGGGAATTTTTTTATATAAAGATTTATTTTCTAAAATAAAATATATTATATTTAAAAATAATTTAAAATAATTAGCAAGTACTCTTAAAGTATTTTTAAAATAATTTATAGATATTTATCTATAAATATTTCTTTTTTTAGTATTAATCTTTAAAATATTTATATTTTTATAAATATTTTAGAAAAAATTTTAAAAATCTTTATTAATAGAGATATAATAATATAATAAAAATAATTAACTAATAAACTTATATCAGAAATATTAGACTATTTTTAAAACTATTTTTTTATATAATATTAAAAAAAATAAAAAGACTAATTATTTTAAAATATTTATCTAATATTTATTATACTAAATCTATTAAATAATCACTAAATAATTCTTAAATATTTTATAAATATTTAAAAATTTATTTTATAAATTAATATCCTAATTTTAGTCTTTAAAACTTTATATAAAAAATTATATATATATATTTATTTACCTTAGTTTTTAAATACTTAAAAAGATTATTAATATATTTAATTTATTAAATAATTAAAGAAAATAATTTTATCTAAATTAAAAAAAAATTAAAGATAATATATTCTAGAAAAATAATTGATTATTAAATATTTAATAAATATTTAATTTATTATCTAGGCTGAGTTGTTTTTTTTAAGAAAGAAAGTTTAATTATATTAGAAAAATTTCTTATTTATAAATAATTAGAAAATAATTAGAAAGTACTTTAAATATTATATATAATAAAATAATAAAAATATAACAAAAAAATAAATTTTAATAATTAAAAATAATAATTTATAAAATAATATAGAATAAAAATTACTTATTAATAATCTTAATATTATATATATAATAAGTATTTTATATTATTCTAAAAAAGAGCTGCTGTGATCTGTGTTCACATCACCGATGTTAGTTACCTTATGGTGGATGCTTAGTGAGCATCCCTAGCTTGTCAGAGAGAAAGAACTAGGACGGGACTCGCTCTATGAAGATTATTCTAGTCTGGACTATTTCATATAGATAGACATCAGAAAATTTTAAATCAGCTTAACATCGCGACTCTTGTCCAACACTCATAATAGTAAAATGTTTTTTAGGACACTGGCTTCGTCGGTGAGTGCACCAAATTTTTATCCTATTTACTCTATCACTACCCTCCACTGGTTCAAGCTTATAATATCATTATCCCCAGGCGTTGCGCCCCCTTTGCCAGCAGCCTCGGGCTTTCCAGCCCACTTCATCGGCCTTTAAGCTTATGCTGCCTACCATTCTCCATGCGCGAAATTTATCTTCTGAGACGCGAACGGCCATTGACAAAGCTATTGCATCTGCTCCTGTTGTTCTCTTCATGAAAGGCACTCCAGAAACCCCGCAATGCGGTTTTTCACGAGCTAGTATACAGGTTTTAGGGCTGCAAGGCGTGGACCCCAAAAAGTTTGTTGCTTTTAATGTCTTGGAAGACTCGGAATTACGCCAAGGTATGCTCGAGTTGTTGATGGGGGTGAAACTCACACCTTCCTTACTATCCAGTAACTGATACTCGGTTTTCTAGGCATCAAAGAGTATTCCGATTGGCCTACTATTCCCCAGTTGTATTTAGACAACGAATTCATAGGAGGCTGCGATATACTGATGTCTATGCATCAAAGTGGGGATCTTGCTAAAATTCTCGAGGAGAAGGGAGTTTTAGTGGCCGCAGAGTAGTTCAAAATACCTATTGTAGCCTTTGGGGGGGCGGGGGGGCATCAGGCAGTCGCTGCTGGCCGTCCGGCCGATACATTTGCCAGAGAATGTTACATCTGTGAGACTCTCACAGTGGCAATGTACTAAATACCAAATGGAACTTCATATCTACTCCGGTGTCTCCCCATTAAGTTGATATAGTGAATGCTCTGCTGACCATTCACTCTATTTGTAATCAAATGGCTCGCTCTCTTTCATTTTCACTACAATGGCTCCCTGCAGATCTTAGATTGATATTTCCACCAAAGCTGTTCGTGCTAGATGAATCTGACATGTTCTCCGCCACGCAGCGCTTGTTTTTAGGCAGATAATGATTCAGAAGACTTAACTAGCTCTTCAACAGCTGCTTTCTGAAGCTTGGCACGCTGTCTCTCTTCGTAGGCTTCCCTGCTTCTTAATATTCTACCAACAATTTCGCCCGCATTAACATGCTGATATGGATGGCTACTAGTTTCTTTGAAAATCCCCATTCTTTTAGGTGCCATATAAGGATCATATGTGAGGGGGATGAATGTTGTCGGACCGTGATAAACCGCATCTGGAACACCTAAAGGCATGGTTTCCAGATACGACCGGCTGGGAGAAAAAGGTGCACAAAATACAACAGCATGAACATACTGGGAGAAAATTAGCGGAATAATCTCCATGCGTTTTAGCATATAGCCAATTGGGATAACATACACGGCACTGTAGAACACATAACCCACGCTCAAATATGTTCATAATGGGGTAATTAAGCCCTTTCCAGTGATTAATAACACCATCATCATGAATTCCCGCAACAACATAAGCAGGTTCATAGTCTTCTCCATTTTCTTTGATCCTCTTTTCCTTTTGATTTTGGTCATACCAACCACGTTCGTAGCCTTCGAGCTTTTCCTGCGCTAGGACTTGTCGGAGAAATTCAATATGCCCAGAAGAGAAGAGATCAAAACCACCATCGACATAGACGATCCGTTGACCTGGCTTCGGCAACTTTCCGTTTACAAGAGTCTGAAAAGAGCCGGGTTCTTCTACTGTATTCCCGAGTTTTGCGGGGTTTGAGCCCGTCCAGATCCAGACTTCAAGGCCAGGTTGCAGACCAGTCTCATCAGTGGCGTAGTCACGAATCATTTGCGTTAGATTTTCGGTAGACTGCTTGTGTTCTTGCGAACTTCCTGGCCCCTCCTCCCCAGTGAGAGTTCTCAGCGCGCTTTTGACGAAATGATTCTTTGTGCACAGGAGCATTCGTCCCACAAGGTCTGTTGTAGAAATACCAGGCGTCCTTTTGACCACTCGGAAGCGCCCAGCAGCTTTGACAAATCGGTAGCAGTCTTCTCCGTTACTATCAGATGTAATATCGTCACCATGCACAACATACTTGCAGCCATAGTGCGATACCCATGGAAGAAACGTCACATAGGGGGCAAAAGGTACACAGCGAGTCGCCCAGCGACATGACTCCACTGCGGCTACTCTTCAGCTTGAGTTAGAAACCCGGCCTGTGTAACACCATAATCGATAACTAACCGCTCTTTCAATGTCATTACAGTCGGCCCTTTGTTCTCGAGAATGGCTTCGTCTGAGTGTACACCAACGTAAAGTTCGTTTCCCAGTCTACGGGCTTGAAGCATAGCACCTGCATGTCCTGCGGAAATTAGCTTTAGGGATTGTCATCTGCAGTTGGAGGGGGTGCTTTCCCACCATGATGGCTGAAATCAAAGCATCCATCCACCCAGATACGATGTTCCGTGATAGGTAAATCATCCTGGGGGTCCACAGGCCACTCCCCTGGTGAAGGGATCGCATCTTCAGACACACCCATCGTGGCAGTAGCAGAAGCTAGTGACTGAATTATACTCTTCCTATAGGTGTCGGTCTCGCCAGGTAATATTTCCTTGTACAGCTGCGGCCGCCAGTAATAAAAAATCGGAGAATAATAATAGAACGCGTAGGGGTGGAAGAGGGCAGGATAACAAAAGTACGCGGAAATTGATTATGAGGTCGGCGCTCTCGGCGCGAGGGAGCTCGACTTACTATACACCAGGGCGGGAACTCCAGGAATCCTATACTTGGCTAATAAGACCCTACAGCTACTGTTATTGCTTTGTGTATTAGACAAGTTTCTGTTAATATAAATAAAATAGTTGTATTTATTAGACAGTTATATTATCTATACTATAATTTCTTATTAAAATAATCAAGTTTTTAATAGCTTAATATATACATATTTTATTTATTTTTAAAACTTTAAATTAGAGTGGTTAACAGTTAAAATACAGATTAAAAACCAATCTCTTAAAAATTATATTTAGATCTAAATAAATTATAAAATATAATTTCTAAAATTAAAATTAAAAAAAATCTAATATTTATTTATAAATTATATTTTAATTATTATCTAATACAGCTAATTTATATTTAATATATAATTAATTAATTCTTTATTCTAGACTTATTTTATATAATAATTTTTGATTATTAAATACACTATAGTAATATTTATATATTATATAATTATCTAGTTTAGATTATATTTATTAATTAAATAATAATTATATATTTATTTTAATTTTTATAAAATATTTTAACTATTATCTAAATTTCTTAACTGTTTATTATTAATCTATCCTGGCTGTTAACCACTCTACTTTAAATTTAATTAGTCTACTGATTAATCAGAGTATTTTAATTATTAATAATAATTTTATATTGTTAATAAACATTATTTTATTAGTCTTGTTTATGTATTTTATTTATCTAATTTATTTCATTTTTCAATCTCTCTTATAGTCTTATTTATTATTATTTTTTATTTATTTTAGCTACATAATTACTATCTATAAGGGGATGGTTTTATAAGATACTATGAAGAAGTTATATTTATCATGAAGTTAAGATAGATATAATATTACTTAAAATATTATTATTACTTTATTAATTAGATTTATCTTTATAAAAAGATATATCCGCGAGAATTTATATAAATTACATATATATTTATTAATTATAAGTTTTCTTATTTTTTAAATATTTCTGATAGACTAATACTTTAAATTTTCATAGATATAAAAAATAATAATAATAAATATAATTTCTTTATTATTAATTAAGATTTATTATTAAATAATCAAGAACTCTTTATATATAATAGACAGGATGTCACGGTGCAACCCCAGAAAGGCTCTGCAAAAAGTCTTCTGCAGATTCTTCTAGTAAAATCTCAGAATACTGTCAGAACTGATTATTAAATATATAATCTTTTATTAAAATAAAATCTATCTATTTTCAGAATCTTATTCATAATCTTAAATTATATTTTATTTATTATTTTATATTTAGTCTGATTACTAGTTAGTTATCTGAATATTTTATTAATAATTATTATTTATTTAAACTATTTTTTACTACTTTAGTCTGCTGTATTCTAATATTATTTAAATTATTGTTTTATTATTTTAGTCTATCTATATCTTAATATTATATAACTTTTATTTTAAAATAAATAATCTAATCAGATATCTGCTATTCTATAATTTTTAATTAATTCTCAAGAACTTAAAGAATTTATATACTATATTACTAAAAGTCTAGAAGATTAATATAATCATTATAATTATATTTCTATTTTTATATTAAAAGCTGATTATAATTAGTTTTATTTTTAATAAGATTTTACTATAAGAAATATAAAAATAGTTTATTAAATCTAGTAAGTTATAGATATAAACCATTAATTTATTAAAATATTTATTATTAAAAAGATTATAATTAAGAAAAGAAATTAAGTTCTAAAAAAATCTACTTTAATAAAAATAGCTTTATTAATTAAATTAGATTTTTTTTATTTTTATTCTTCTCTTTGAATATCTTTAATCTTAATAAATTTAAAGATACTTATACTAATCTTATCTAATTTATATTCTAGATTTAAAATAAAATATTTATTAATTATAATTCATATTTTATTTTATAAATTTATATATTTTATATTCTCAGCTGTCTAAGATAGATTCTATATAATTATGTATAATTTTAGATTAAAAACAGAATCTATATTTTAATAAATTATAATACGATTTTAGATCTGCTATAATATATTTTTAAGAATTCTGATTATATTTAAAATATCTGTCTTAAATTATATTATTTTAAATAAAATAATAAAGAATTTAGTATCTATTTTATTAAACTTTAATATTTAATTTACAAAGTCAGAATACACCCGGATATTTATTTTTTATATTAAAAATAGTATTAATTATAAACTCAAGATTATACTTCTGAATAATATTCCATCTAAAAAAAATTATTATATTTTAATATATATTTTTTTAATCTCTGCATAATAAAAAATTATAATATATTTTTAAATTTAAAATCTGATTTGAAAAATCTATTAATAATCTAAATATTAGTATAAATTTTATAAAGATTTTATAAAAATCTTTTATAAATTTTTTAATAAGAGAATTTTTACTTTTAATTATAATCTAATAAATCTCTTTTTTATGTACTATTTTTTTTATATTTTAAAATTATATTTTAAAAAAAAGAATAATATTTTTATTATAACTCTAGTTAGTATCTAATTTAAAATTATTTTAAATCTAATATTTATATTTAATTTATTAATTATTTAATATATTTTATTTTTTTATAAAAATATACTTATGTTCTTATTATTACTCTTTATTTATAATTATTATTTATTTAATAAATTAAGATTTTATATATATTTTTATTTTTTTAATATATTAATTAATAAGATTAATATAATTTAAGTATCTTTATTTTTTAGATTTAAATAAAAAAATTAAAAAAAATCTATTTAATCTAAGATATTATTAGATAGAGTCTCTAATATATATATATATATATATATATAATCTCTAAATCTATTTTTAAAAAATTTTTTATTAAAGAAAAATTTTTAAAAAATAATCTTATAATAATATTTATTATACTTAATCTAAAAGATTAATAAATCTTAATTTATATTATATTTAATATAGACTATATTATATTATATATTATAAATAAAAACTAGACTAAAACTTATTAATTATTTTTATATTTTTTTAAAATAATCTAAATCTATTATAAAATTTAATAATTAAAAAAATAAGATAAAAAAATTATTTATTATATTTTAATAATTTTAAAAATATATAATTATATAAAATAAAATATTCTATTTTTAATTATTAAGTTAATTTATTTTTTAATTATAATTAATCTATTTTAGCTAAAGATTTATAATCTTTATATAAATTTTATTAATTATATTATTTAATTTTCTAGTTTTTATTATTAAAAATATTATAAGATATTTATTTAATTTATTAATATTTAAGCTTTTTATAATATTTTAATTTAAATTTAATTAATAAATATATTTTTATTATATTTTTTAATAAATTAGAGGTCTAGCTAATCTCTCTGAATATATTTATTATTTATATTTATTATAATTATTCTATCTATATTATTATTATAGATTATATTAATATAATATTATAAATTATTTTTAATATAAATAAATCTAAATTCTTAAAAATCTTTTAAAAGTTTCTAAATATTATTTTATTTTAAAAAATAAAAAAGCTTTTATTTTATTATATTTATAATTATATTATTATATTTTTTTAAAAAAAAGTCTATTCTTTAATCTTATATATAAAATATTTTATTAAAAATTTAAAGCTCTCTCAGAATAATTAATAAATATTTTTTAAAAAAAAAATTTTTATCTAAAATTCTTTTTTATAATTTTTATAATTTTTATAATTTTATTTATTAAGAAATTAAATAATAGAATTAGATTTTATATTAATTATTATATTTTTAATCTTATTTTAATTAAGAACTGCTCCCTGCTTCTATTTATTAAAAAGATTTTAAATAATATAAAAAAAATATAATATTTTATTAAAAAATCTTTATAAACTTTTTAATAAGAGAATTTTTATTTTTAATTATAATCTAATAAATCTCTCTTTTATATACTATTTTCTTTATATTTTAAAATTATATTTTAAAAAAAAGAATAATATTTTTATTATAACTTTAGTTAGTATCTAATTTAGAATTATTTTAAATCTAATATTTATATTTAATTTATTAATTATTTAATATATTTTATTTTCTTATAAAAATATACTTATCTTCTTATTATTATTCTTTATTTATAATTATTATTTATTTAATAAATTAAGATTTTATATATATTTTTATTTTTTTAATATATTAATTAATAAAATTAATATAATTTAAGTATCTTTATTTTTTAGATTTAAGTAAAAAAATTAAAAAAAATCTATTTAATCTAAGATATTATTAAACAGAGTTTTTAATATATATATATATATATATATAATCTTTAAATCTATTATTAAAAAAGTTTTTATTAAAGAAAGATTTTTAAAAAATAATCTTATAATAATATTTATTATACTTAATCTAAAAAATTAATAAATTTTATTTTATATTATATTTAATATAGACTATATTATATTATATATTATAAATAAAAACTAGACTAAGACTTATTAAGTATTTTTATATTTTTTAAAATAATTTAAATCTATTATAAAATTTAATAATTAAAAAAATAAGATAGAAAAAATTATTTATTATATTTTAATAATTCTAAAAATATATAATTATATAAAATAAAATATTCTATTTTTAATTATTAAGTTAATTTATTTTTTTAATTATAATTAATCTATTTTAGCTAAAGATTTATAATCTTTATATAAATTTTATTAATTATATTATTTAATTTTCTAGTTTTTATTATTAAAAATATTATAAAATATTTATTTAATTTATTA